TAATGCATCAGGAGAGTGTCATTGCATTAGACCCAGTTTTTAACAGGTTAAACATGACAAGTCAACTGATGTCCAGTGTAAAACTTTTAAAAATAAGAGCATGTTGGTAGAAAATAAACTGCTCCTCCATTTCAGTGAGACAGATTTGACATTGGGCCTAAACTAAGTGATAATTCACTAAAACTAAAACTAAGAGTTAGAGGTCAGAGAGCTCATGGCATCACTTCCTGTCTAGCCTCTGTAACTCTACAATCTCTCATTCAGCATTTCTTTCACTGGAATTAAAAGCTTTGTGATTTTAGCAAAGTTAAACATTTACTTTGTGAGCGCTGAAAAAACTACAGCTCCCATGAAAAAAAACTACAGTCATGGCAGCGCAGGTACTTCGGCCACTTGACGTCGGTTCATCCACATGCAAATCTAAAGTCATTTTACAACTTTCTAGTTGTTATACCAGCGTTCAGTTTCATTCAACTTGCTCACAGACTCTCTTCCTCTTCTTCTTCTTCCAACGGCGACATTTAGCCTGCAAACATTTAGGGGCTCATGGGAAATGGTGTTCATTTTTCGATTTTAGTTTGTTTTATTTTGTGGTGTAGTTCCAGACATCAGTGGGATTTTGAATGAGGTTTTCTTACATCTGGAACAGAGCCTGAAAGTTCTAGTTTCATGTTGACCCTCTACACTAATATGCTAATGTTAGCATAACGATTTAAACTATCACATTGATCTGTTAGTTCGTTCACATGTCAACGTTGAGCATCTGACCATTAACATCCATCAACACACACACACACACACACACACACACACACACACACACACTTACATGTTGCCTCAAAGTGACATTTCATTTTCAGACGTTGTCGTTTTTACACAGAAAATAAGGAAAAATCATAATCTCCTAATCTTCTGTGAAACAGCTTAAAATATCTCCGTGTCCAACAGCAGAAGATATTTGTTTTACTGTCACAGTAGATGAAGAAAATCAGCAAATTCTCACATTTGAGAAGCTGGACGTGAAGGATTTTGGGCGTTTTAGCCTGAAAATGTGTCAAAGTGAGTCCTGCAATCGACCAATCGATTAATTGATCATTGTTTTGGCCTCATTCATAAGTGCACACTCAGAATGCATTTGAGACACATCTTAATACCAGGTGTAAACTGTAATTAGTCTGACAAAAACAGACCTGGACACGGGACGTGAGGTCATCAGTTCTGTCACTGACCCCAGACCAGTCCTTCTTACAACACCACAGACACCTCCAGTCTGTTCTCAGGACACATTGATGGGTATAACCACAGTCTCACTCCTCCTCCTCCTCCTCCTCCTCCTCCTCCCTGTCATCGTCCTGAGGGACGGGCCGCCTCGCCTCCTTGGGCTGTGATTGGCTGCGGCGTCTCCTGGTCGACCTCGGTTCGGTGACTGATGCCGGTGACCCACTTCATCTGCGCGAACCTGAAGGAAGACGAGCGGTGCTCCAGTTTTCCTTCAGTATGTAGGACAGCAGGCCGGACGGACGGCGGCTGCTCGCTGAGACTAATTCATCTCTGTCAGAGTCACATCACATCATCGCTCACAGTCTGTAGCTCAGCAGATCACTGCGTGTTTCAGGGAAATCTTTCACATGTGGAAACAAGTGCCAAACTCGGCATAAATCCTCCCCGGGTATTACTCTGTTGATAAAACACGTTAGCTGCTCAGAAATCCAAGATGGCTGCCATTTCTGGCAATTATTTTCTCATGAATAATCCAGGTATCAAATCAAACATTTTAACAATGAAGGAGAAATTTAGTACACTGTAAAAAATGAAATGAAAGTATCTTTCAGCAAAAAAAAATATTACTCACAAAAATATTTAAAAAAATGTTACTCATAAAATATTTAAAAAAAATATTACTCACAAAATATGTAAAAAAAATATTACTCTCAAAAATATTTGTAAAAATGTTACTCATAAAAAATATTAATCAAAAATATTTAAAAAAAAAAAAATTTACTCAAAAATAAAAATATCCAAAAATAAAATTTCAAAAAAATGTTACTCACAAAAATATTCAAAGAAATATTACTCAAAATACTACTCACAAAATATTATTCAACAAAAACATTACTCACAAAAATATTCAAAGAAATATTACTCTCAAAAATATTCAAAATATTACTCATTACTCACTAAAATGTTACTCATAAAAATATTAATCAAAATTTTTCTTTTAAAAAATGTACCAATAAAAAATATTAATCAAAAATATTTAAAAAAATGTTACTCATAAATTTATCCCAAAAAAATATTTAAATAAAATATTACTCACAAAAAATATTACTCGAAAANTACTCACAAAAATATTCAAAGAAATATTACTCAAAATACTACTCACAAAATATTATTCAACAAAAACATTACTCACAAAAATATTCAAAGAAATATTACTCTCAAAAATATTCAAAATATTACTCATTACTCACTAAAATGTTACTCATAAAAATATTAATCAAAATTTTTCTTTTAAAAAATGTACCAATAAAAAATATTAATCAAAAATATTTAAAAAAATGTTACTCATAAAATTATCCCAAAAAAATATTACTCACAAAAAATATTACTTGAAATATTACTCACAAAATATTACTCAACAAAAACATTACTCAAAAAAATATTACTCACAGAAATATGTAAAAAAATATGACTCATAGACGATATTCCAAAAAAATATTTTTTACAAAAAAAGCTTAGTTACTAGCCCAGCGCTACCAGGTTAGCCCAGTGAGCTAATCTTAATACAAGCAGACAGTCAACTCTTACATTTTTGTGGTTCATCATTCACCTTGTGTTTTATGCAGAATTTTTTACGTTGCTATTAAAATTGCACAAATTAAGCTCTGAGGAAATTTAACAGTTGTAAATTTGACATCCTCATCATGTAAAACACAACATTACAAAATTATTGAAATCTGTCCCATGGGTAAAATTCAGTGGTTTCCTTTGCCAGAAATGGCAGCCATCTTGAAATTTCGATGGGGTTTTTCAAATGAATGGCCCCAGAGGGATGAACATACCAGTTTTGGTGCTTGTATCCTGATTTGAAAGATTATTGCAGTTATCTGCTGCACTCCTGTGCTTTAACTATTTTTAATGAAGGGGAAACTAAAATGTTTCTTGATTACTTTGGTTTCCTGTCGACAACAACATCGGTTATCTGAGCTGGAGCAGAAATCTCCCACGAGCCACCTCTGCAGACCGACTAAACGTTTGTTTGGAGGTGGCGCTTCATTTCCATTTTCAGCTGAGCAGCTCTGAGTCGCTGCTGCTGCTCTGTGCTAATCTTTCAGGGTGAACATGGAACAGGACAAAAAAAAAACCTTTCCCAGAGTAATTGGGACTTAAAAAGAGAAACATTTAGCGTTGAACCCAGAATCCTCTCTGATGTGTGACCCGGTGTTTTAAAACCTGGCAGCAGAGAGCTTTCAGCTGGCCGTTAAAGCTCTGTGATTGAGACTCTGTGAACTCGCTCCAGCAAACGCTCTCCGCCACATTCACACTTCATCTGCTCCCTTCAAGTGAGGAACACGACCAATCAGCTCGCCTGTCTCCCAGACGAGAATCTGCCATCCTCTACTTAAAGAAAGAAACTCACTTCGGAACTTTTGTCTGGAAACATCAGAAACCAGGAGAGTAGAGTGAATCCCTGGATGTCGGATCAGTGTCTCATGCTGTGTAGACGTTGGTCGGTTCACCACTTGATTTTTCACTTCTCACTTTAAATGACATATTTTAAATTAAAATGCTTAAATTCAGTCATTTATTTATTTATATTATTTATTCACTATAGAAACTGTAACATAATGTGTTATTTTTATCTATTTTACTTATTACTGCTTGTTGTTCCTGGTATTGACCCACGTATGTTGATCTGTTGGGTGAGCTGCAGGGGATTTGCCTTTCTTTGGATAAATAAAGTCTGAATCTGAATCTGAACCGGAGGCAGAATGAGGACAGAAGAGAAGAAGCACTGACAACAGAAGAGGCTGAAAACACAAATACCAGCTCTGTCACATCTTTAGAAACCATGACGGTCGTTTAGGTCGGTTTATGATCATGTCACTGAGGAATTTTATCTGTTTTCTCCTCAAAGAAGCAGCGAGATTTTACGGAGGATCCCGGCCGCCTTTGTTTCCCCTGCATCAGAAGAACCTGCTGTGTGTTTTCATTTCTCCGGCAGCCAATAAATCTGCATGTAAACGACGCTGAGCCTCAACAGAAAGGTCAGAGGAACCAGCAGAGCGGAAACAGAGAGAACAGCTCAGGATTTTCAGGTTGAAGGTTCGGATCCTCGGCGGCCTCCGACGAGGCCTTTGAGCAAATCGTCGCTCGTTACCACCTTCACAGGAGAAATGCAGGCCGGGAAAACGCCGAGCGCTGCCTCCGTGCAGGTTGGCGGAGGCTGTGGGAGGCAGTCTGGCTCCGGGCCCGACAGCAGATACCCTGCTGGAGTAACAGATGGCCCAATGCATCATGGGAGTTATGTCCACAAATATATCTGTTATGGTCTTAAATAGCACAGGATGCTGCCACGAAGGTGAAGGAAGCAGGTTTTTGTTTTTAACTCGATTGTGGGTTGAGTCCATCACACGATGAACTGTTTTACCTCATCAGCACAATCTCTTAAAGGGCCAGAACAAATCCCGAAGGCTTGATATTGATCCCAACTCTTTTTTATACTGTAAACCAGGTGATTACAAATGAACTTCCTCAGCTGCTTCTGATTTTCAGACAAACAAACACACCAACTGTTCCTGAAGTATCAAAGTCCTTCCAAACTTTACACCAAAGTCAGTTTCTGAACAAATCTGAAGTGAGAAATTTTACTTTAGATTGTTATTAACCAGGTTTTGGAATTTGGAAACGTGTCGAGTGAATAGAAAACTATAGGAACCCTGGACGCCCGATATGACCCGACCTGGATGTTTCATGGTGTATCTGCTCTGTGTTTGCAGATGTTCCTCACCGTGTACCTCAGCAACAATGACCAGCACTTCAGCGAGGTTCCCATCACGCCGGAGACGCTGTGCCGAGACGTGGTTGAGCTCTGCAAGGAGCCCGGTGAGGCCGACTGCTACCTGGCCGAGATGTGGAGAGGCTCAGGTACAAAAATACAAAAGCATCTTGTACTTGTACTGTGTGGACACCAAACTGCAGGGATCCACTCCCATTCAGCCTCGAGGTCGCTTGGAGGTTTAACACCGATGTTGGTGGTGAGGCTTGACGTTCAAGTTCATCCCAAAGGTGATGGATGGGGTTGAAGTCAGGACTCGGTGAAGACCAGTCGAGTTCTTCCACACAAAACTGGGAAAACCATTTCCAATACGGAGCTGGTTTATAAATGTAGAAAAACAAAATCTAAAACTAAAGATTCCAAACCAGGAAATACAGTCCCCACGTGTCCACATACTTTTGGCCATATGGTGTAATCACATCATGATTTAGTCAGAGTATGTTGTGTTTTCTAACCAATCAGAACGTGTGGTTGGAGAGGGGGAGCGGATGATGGAGGTGTTGCAGCGATGGGGGCAGCAGATGGGGGAGGTCCGCTACCTGCTGCACCATCAGAGAGCTCCGGCTCGAGACTCAGGTAACAAACATCTGCACACAGCTGCACATCGTAATAAATGTAATAGATGTGTTTTCAGTTATTGAAAATATTGTTCCTCTGCGCGCTTTATAAGTGTGTGTGTCGGTTACTCCACCCTAACTGTTAAAAATTGTTTTAATTAGCTGCTACACTATTAGTTTATCCAATTCAACCAAAAAAAAAGTCTCAAAATTTGTTTTCCTTTGATTTTTTTTTAAATTGATGTTTTGTAAAATTAACTAAGTTCTGACGTTGATTTTATTTCTGTAAATATAACTTTGTTGTTACTATCCTGCTTGTTCAAAGCTTTTAATGTGAAACACTTTTGTTTTGAAAAGTTCTATATAATCACATAATTGATTACTCATTTATCCTGCATGTCATGAACACGAGCTCTGATTGGTCAAACGTGTCGTCTCTCGTTTCTGACAAGGTTTCATACCTACGATCGCCTCATCCAGTGACGTCCCAAAACAAAAGACACTACATGTTGTTCTTTTACCAAAGTAATACGCTGCCGTGTATTTCAGCTCCAAAAAGCAAATGTATTTATGACGCTCTGAAGCCCGAGGGAGTTCATGCACTCCCAAATATCACGTTGTCTTTAGAGCATCATAACTCCACGTTTGTTTGAGCTGAAGACGTCCTTTTTTTCACCTTTAAACTAGAGAATCAGCGTTTTCTAACAAACCCCTGATCATCCGTGTGAGTCTCTGACTTCCATCGATACACTAACATTAAAAGTTATGAAATATTTGGAGTAGTTTTACCGTTTGTCTGGGCTGCTGCTTTCTGTCTGCATCTCTATTGATCGATTCTCATCCTCCATCTTTGCCAGTGACGTCTAGAGTCTCGTCACACAGTTCGACATTCCTATTGGCTCCAGTGGGAGCTGTCACAGCCAATCAGAGTGTCTGATTTAGAGGCTTGGCTGTATACCCAGACTAAATGGGAGCAGTGCTGTTTTACTCTGAGCTCAGAGTGAGGAGAAGTTGTTCTGAGTTTATTGTAGAGACGGAAACAGACAGAAGGACGAGAGCAGTCAGATATTTAGAGCAGCGGAGGATTTGGAGCTGATTTTTCATAAATACTGCTCCAGAGAATGAGAATAACTCATGAACAGATAAAGATAGAAACTTCAAATCACCTCCAGAGCAACTCAAACAGAAATGTGCAACTTTCTGTGTTGAAGTTTTCTTTCTTTATTATAGTTTACAGCTTTTATCTATAAAATATGGGCTATTGTTTTATGGTCTGTTAACCTCTATTACTGTACAAGAGTCTTTATTGAGTCACATATATTATTAGCTGAGGTTGTGCTGATTCTGAATCTGTGCAGCACTTGGTGAAACTTTTTTAAAAATGACAACTTTATTAGAAAAAATACAAAGGTATGAAGAAGCAGAACAGTCCTAATGAGGGTCCGTCCATCCCTCCACATCTGTAGAGGTTCGTTACCACTCTTCTTCTTCTTTGGTTGTCGGCTACAAAACTCTGTGACATTTTATTTAGCTGAGAAACAACAAACTAATCTTTATTAGAATCAAAGTGTTTGTCAGCAGCAGGAGATGTTGGACGTGATTCTCCCTCCAGACTGTTAAAACAGCTGCGGTCTCACTGTGAGTGATGCAGCAGCCTTCAGCAGTAATCCAGTTGTTTATGTGGCAGCACATGGTGCAGATCAGCAGCAGGATCTGCTCTACAGTAACAGATGAGCGTCACTGTGTAACTACAGTAGATGACAAACTGTAATCGGCTTATGACTGGAGGGAGGGACCGTGCAGCTGCTGGACTCCGGTGGTGGGGGGGGAGGGGTCGGGGGAATTATTGATGGATAGTGATTTTGGTTTTTCAGTCCTAAAAACAAAGGAAATCCCCTCTGAGGTTTCCACCTCCATTAGATTGTTTTAAAGTCACGCCAGAGAATAAAGCTGCTGCTGTTCTGTGGTTTTATTATTGTCAACAAAATCCCAAGTGCAGAGCCGAACCACCGATGTGTCAGTGCGTCTCTTAATACTGTCTGTGGCTCTGAGTCCACTGGTTCCTACTGAAGACGTAGATCTTTAAAAACCTCACACACATAAAAGCTGTGTCCCAATTCAGGAGCTTCATCCTTCAGGAGCCGAATCTGAAGACTGGTCGTGTCCCAGACTGTCCCATTTCAAATGCATCGTTCTGTTCCTGGACTACGACGGTATCGGGCTGTGACAGTGACACTGAAAACAAAACCTGAGCTGAAAAAGGAAACAATGGCATTGAAAAAAAACTGTACGTTTTATAATTCTTATCATAGGCTTTTTATAATCTGTTGATGTTTTTGTTTCTGTGTTGTTTGTGTTTTCCCCCTCAAGCCCCGCCCCCTCTCTACGCAACACGGTGACACGGTTGAAACTGAAAACCAGTGACAATGATGAAATAATGACAGAGAAAAGACATGAAGAAAAAATCTGAAGATTGACATTGAAAAAACATCATAATTTAATATGATATTGTAGAATTGTAGTTTTTATTAATGCAGGTGTTTTATTTTCCATTGTTTCCTTTTTCAGTTCAGGTTTTGTTTTCAATGTCAAAATTTAATGCAACGTATCCCAAGATTCATTGCGCATCGGTAATGAAAGCAAACAACACAGAGAGAGAGCCTGAGGATCACAAGATCATGAAGGTCAGAATCAAGCATAAGACTCATGGGACGTCCAGTTGTTCATGTCTGTGATTCAGCCAGTGATTGAACAGTGTTCAGGTATAACTGTGTGTCGTCAGCGTAGAGAAGTTTTTTACACCTGAAGCTGATGGGAGCTAAAAGCCTCAGTACCGACTGTGCTGTGTTTTTGTGTCCAGGTGGATCGCGAGCTGCAGATCAGATGATGAAGAGGAACCAGGTCAAGGCGTCTGCGGAGAGATGTCTGGAGAACGGGGTCAGAGACTTTCTGTGTACAGAGGCAGTTCCAGGATGAGATTAGCGTAGCTTAGCACACACACTGGAAACAAGGGGAAACTGCTAGCCTAGCTCCTCAGAGTCTGTCAGGTTCACATGTTGAACAGTTGCAGCAATAGAAATGTAAACACAGAGATGTTGTGGTTTTAGCCACAGTTAGCTACAGACAAGAGTTCCTACTTTACAAACAGCAGATCCTCCGTCATCTGTGCTGTGATGTTAATGTACAGGAAGTTGTGTGTTGCCTAAAACTCCTTCAAACCCTGTGTTGGTGTGAAGGCTGCGCTGCATGATGTGAAGGTGAGCTCTGACTCTTTGTGTGTGTGTGTGTGTGTGTGTGTGTGTGTGTGTGTGTGTGTGTGTGTATGTGTGTTGCAGATCTCAGCTCCTTGTCTGGACGTGACGCTGGGCGAGCTGCAGGATCTGGCGACACGACAGCAGCAGCAGATCAACGCTCAGCAGCAGCTGCTGTCCTCCAAGGTACAACACACACAACCACCACACACACACACTGCTGCTGATGCTGGTGTTACTGTTAGCGCCAGTAACACCACGACTATCATCACTGTAACACCATACTCCTACAAATACACAAAACCCAGTAAATTTAAATTACATTTTTTGCCTTCAGCCGTGAGCAGAAGAGTTTGTGTGAAGTTTGTTTTCAGCAGGATTTTAGTTCCTCGCTCTGCAGACATTCATCAAACTAATTCAGATGCGTTAACGGACTGCGTGTGTTTGCAGGAGCAGCGGCTGCGGTACCTGAAGCTGCAGGATCAGCGGCAGCAGCAGCAGCAGGAGGCGTCTGAACAGGAGCGACTGCGGCAGCTCCGAGAGAACGCACACAACCAGGAGGCCAAGCTGCGACGGGTCCGGGCCATCAGGGGCCAGGTGGAGCAGAAACGCCTCAGCAACAGTAAACTAGGTCAGTGGGCCGGAGGTCTGCGTGTTCAGTTTTATTGGTTTAAATTGTGAGATTTAACTTGTTTACGTTGACTGAGACGTCGGTATCAGAGCGACATTCGAAATGAAAAACGAGTGGAAAAACTGTTTTCTAAATTTTCATCAAAACTTATTCCACGATGTGAAATTCGCTCCAGAGGCTCTAATGCTTCAGGGTCACATCATATCTTTGTATTTCTAAAAAGATGTTTGAGTGTTTCCATTCACTTCAATACAATCAGAGCAGCACCTAGTGGCTGTTTGAGGAACTGCACCTTAACAGGGTTCCCACTCATCATTGAAAAGGAAAATAATATTATATTTTACATTAATTTGTTGTAGGTATTACATTTGCAGAAAGTGTCTTTAAGACTGGTAGAAAAAAACAAAGCCAATAATAATGATGTTTCCTGTTCGACACTGTTGCTTTGTGAAGACACAAATTTAGCACTAGGTGGTGCTAACCTGATCATTTGGCAGTCTGTGGGTCCACAGGTCGATAATTAGATAATTTTTTGTGAGAAAAGAAAAAGTCAAACATTGTTTGTACTTAATTTTCAATTATTGAGGTCTTTAAAACATCTTAAGAAGCTTTGATTTTGATTTTTAAAATGGTGCAGGAAGTCTGTTTAAGACGCATCGGGTCACATTTAGTGAGATTTTTGACTCATTCAGTCAAAGAAACATGAAGTTTGTATTAAACAGATGCACCAAGAGTCACAGTTTGCATGTCGTGTGTCTTTCTTTTTGGCATATGATGCATTTAAGGACTTTGTGACTTTGTGCCTCTGAAAAGTGGGTACACACACACTGGGCAAATGGGTTTTACATTCACCACAAAGAAGGATATAGTGGGAAAAGTAATTGTTTTATTCTGTGAATTATTCTACAGAAATCTCAACAATATAAGACGTAAAGTATCAAACCACAAAAATTGACAGAGAACATCAGTTATCTAGAAGGAAATAAACTAAAAAGTGACTGTAATTAAAGTGAGTGTAAATAAAAGTGTCTATATTCATACCTTTCAAAACAAAACTTACAAAGTGTTTTACAGGAGGAAGAAAAGGGGGGAGGAGGGAGATTAAAGAGACAAGAACACAATAAATAAGAACAACCTGCAAAATAAAAGACTTAAAATCAGGAGAAAGATAAATGATGTTCACTGATCTGATTTGGTTTCAACACTCAGCTGTGATGGTTAAACTGTTTATGGTCGTCACCTCTCAGGATTTAAGTAATTAAGTTCAGATTTTCTTTTACTGTGTTGTCACTTTGGAGGCACGTTAACAACAGCAGGAAAGAGGCAGTGTGTGTGTGTGTGTGTGTGTGGTCAGAGCAGATGGATGGAGACTGAAGATCAGATTAGATGACATTAGATCATTAGATCACATAGACTTGACCCGACTCTGCGTCGTCATTATGGAAATTACAGGATTTACATTAAGCTGCTTGTTCAAATGTAACTGTTACTATTTCATCCGTTGTGTGTTCACATCTGCCCAGCTGTGTGTGTGTGTGTGTGTGTGTGTGTGTGTGTGTGTGTGTGTGTGTGTGTGTGTGTGTGTGTGTTTGTGTTCAATAGTCTCAGCTTTATAATCGTGTTTTCTTATGTTTAGATCAGATAGTTCCTGATTTAAATCATTATTTTATCCATTTCACACTGAAATAAAAATGGCTGATTAGCATTAAATCAACTTTCAATCAACTTAAGAAAAAACTAAGACTTTTTTTTTACTTAATTTTGCTTCCTATTTACTTAAAGTGCCCAAAAAAGGGTATTTAACTGTGTTTGTGTGTCAGTGGAGGAGATCGAGCAGATGACCGGTCTGTTCCAGCAGAAGCAGAGGGAGCTGCTGGTGGCCGTGGCGAGGGTGGAGGAGCTTAGCGACCAGCTGGAGGTGCTGAGGAGCAACCGACTAGAGCCTCCGCTTCCTCCTCCTCCTCGCCATCACCACCATCATCACAACACCTCCTCCTCCACAGCTGAGCTGGAGCGCCTCTACAAAGAGCTGCAGGTAAGATCTCAGGTGAGGTCGTCCAGTTGTAACGGACGCTGCAAATTGGGGCCCCCAAGGAGAAAAGGGGATCACGACCGGTTTCTGCTGTTTCACATTGACAGTATCAGAGCTCTTTCAATCATCATCAGTTCAAACAGTGAAACTAGAACCTCCTCCTCGTGGTCGTATCCCTCCGCCACTCAGACTAGTTTCAGGTCACATCCCTGTTTATCAGAGTCAGAGAGAATATGAACCATTGGTGTGAAATTTTGTCATAATTGCTGTGAAGTCTTGAGTTATGGCTAAGAAGTGTTTTGTGAGGTCACACTGACCTTTGACCTTTAGCCACCAAAAGCTAATCAGCTTCCCAAACCTACATTTTAGCATTTGAAGACATTGCCTCAAGACGTTACGGAGATATTGCATTCACAAAGCCAAAACCACATTTTGTGAGATCACCGTGACCTTTGACCTTTGACTGAAAAAATCTTATCAGTCCATCCCTGAGTCCTAGTGAATGTTTGTACCAAATCTGAAGAAGTTTCGTCAAGGCGTTGAACGGGACATACGTACGGATCACTAGAAAGTTAGCATGTGTAAGTTAGCATGAGCTAATCAGGAAACTTGGTGATGACAAAGGATCTGGTCTCTGGTCAAAATGTGCAGATGAATATAAAAGGCAAAGACGTTACATCACATTCATAATGCTGGAATCAGCAGACGAGCTAACAATAAGCTAATGCGGCTAGTCTGAGCACAACATAGCTAGGCTAACTAGCTAATGTAAGTTTTGTGGTAGTACCTGCTTCCTCACCTGTTTTTTTCACTATCAACCTCCACTGACCCGACGCTGTCCTCGCCTCCCAGCTGAGGAACAAGCTGAACCAGGATCAGAGCGTTCGGCTGCAGCAGCAGAGAGACAGCCTGAACAAGAGGAACCTGGAGGTGGCGGCGATGGACCGGCGGCTGGCCGAGCTCCGGCAGCGGCTGTGGAAGAAGAAGGCCGCGCTGCAGCAGAAGGAGAACCTGCCGGTGAGCGCTCATAAAATAAATCTGCCAATAGTTTTTAAGATTTGCTTTTTTTTTTTTTTTTTTTTTTTTTTTTTTTTTTTTTTTTTTTTTTTTTTTTTTTTTTTTTTTTTTTTTTTATACAGGTTTTCAGTTGATACTTTATGAAATCGACGTTATCTTTCGACCAGCATCTAGTCTACCTGTGGACATTTTACTTAAGAGCGACCAAAGAGGCTGCGGCAGTCTGATATCTCCGTTTCCTCTCCAGGTGGCTTCAGACAGCGTGGCCCCTCAGCACGGCGTGGGCTCCAGAGTTGCGGCGGTGGGGCCGTACATCCAGTCGTCCTCCACAATGAGCTCTCAGGGGCCTCCGGTGCTGGCCTGCCACGAGGTTCTGGTGAAGCCAGCATACCCAGACGGGACAGCCACCCTCCCTATGCCTGACTCATCCCTGAAGCCGCCGCCCAGACCCGTCAAACCAGCCTCAGGTTCTGCGCCTTAAGTCTCTCTTTGAGTTCAAATAGAAAGAAAATGGAGAATAAATAAATAGTGTTTGATTCTCCGTCTTCTGTCCGAGCATCATTTGGACTTTTTCTTTATTCACAGGTTTCAACAACTCAAAAATAACCAAACTACCCGACTGGAGCAGCTCATTTTCTGAATCCAGCGGAGGTTACAGCCACGCCTCAACGCTGCCTCGCATGTCCAGCCTCAGCGGCCGTAACTCAGGTCGGTTATGGCGCCATTTCTCCAGCGCCCAAAAATATGGGATGTTGGAGGTAACATGTCATGGAAGATGTAGGTATCATGATGATGGTTTTCCCTCCTATAGGTGGTGACACCCTCACAGACAAGAAGGACCTCTCTGGGTCTGACGTCCCACCCCCTGTCCCCTCGCGGACCAATCACACCACAGAAAACCTGCTCAGGGACAATCAGGTACCACTGCACTCTGATTCATCCCCTATCATTACAAACTTCATGTTCAGGTATAAAAGAATAATTAACACTGTGAAAGAGTTGGAGTGTAGAGACTTTCAAAGCCACACAGCTTGAATATTTAATTCTGAAGTCCGAAATCTTCATTCAGCGAGCGAATCGCCCCCAGTATATCGCCATTTGAAGGCCCGTAGGGTCCTGGTGTTTTGGTCCAATGCGATTACTGTTTTCACACGTGCACAAACAAATTGTATCCAGAGGGAAACCGAACCGGTGTTCGGTTTAACCGGTCTAAAAAAGCGCAGGTGTGAAAACATCCTAATGCTCTTTATTTCCACATCCGCTCTGTGTTTCACCATCAGGCCTCAGGTAAAGGTTTGTCCAAGACGGCGGCGCCACCTCCAGTCCCCAGTAAGCCCAAACCGTTCTCCTCGTCCGGCCCACCAACCTTCACCAAGCCCCCCTACAGCACCGGGACCTTCCCTGGTAAGGTGCGACCGGTCGGGGGCCACCTCAGGGCTCCGGGAGTCCTCTCCAGCCACAGCAACACACTCCCTCTGCCCAACAAGCAGGAGAGTCCTCCAGCCGCCGCCGTCCGACCTTACACCCCCGAGCTGTCGGATGGCCCCCCTCCTGTGCTGAAGAAGAAGCCTCAGACTGTGGCGGCTTCATCCATCTACTCCATGTACACCCAGCACGCCACACCGGGGAAGGGCTACCAGCTGAGCGGTCAGGGCACCCTCCCCCGCAGTCAGCCCCGAGGTGAGATGCAGTTACTGCTGGAGTGTATGTTGTAGGTCACAGGTGGAGGTAGCTGTTGTTTCTCCACATTAGATGAAGCTGATGTTGGTTTTGTTGTCTCTTCCTCGTCACAGTGTATGGGAAACCAGTCCTCCCCGCCAGCGGGGGGCAGCAGTCTGTCACCTCGGACAACACCGCTGTGAATTCTGGGTCCTGTGTGTTTGATGGGAGCGAGGCTGAAAACAGTTTCCTGGGTAACAGCGAGGGTGTCGGTGGAGAGACGGCGGAACGTTCCACCCCTCGACCGCTCAGCCCCACCAAGCTCCTCCCCTTCCTGTCCAACCCTCACAGGAACCCTAGCGACGCCGACCTGGAGGCCCTGCGCCGCCGGCTGCACCATGCCCCCCGGCCCCTGAAAAAACGCAGCTCCATCACGGAGCCTGAAGGCCCGGCCGGACCCAACATCCAAAAGCTGCTCTACCAGAAGACCACTCTGGCTGCCATGGAAACCATCCCCATGGAGACAGTTGGTCCAGCTGGGGCGTACGTTCAGACCGAGGTTCACGAGGACGGGGTTGGCAGTCTGGATGAAGCATCGCAGGTTGACAATGACACCGCCGCTGGCTTCAACCAGCTGCTCACTGAGAGCCCGGAGGACTGCCTGACTCCGCCCCCCCTGCCTCCTCGCTCACCCATCCCTGACCCCGCCTCCTGCCGCTCCCTGCCCCCCCCTCTGGAGAACAAGGAGGAGGAAGAAGTGTGTCCGTCCACCTCAGTCCACCACAACCACTATCCAGAGGAGTTCCCCCCCTACCCGCCCCCGCCGTACCCCAGCTGTGGGGAGACAGAGCAGGAAGACGACGCCCTCAACCTACAGCCGCCAGAGGTCACAGGGCAGGTCACAATGCCGCCGGTGGGTGTCCTATTATAACAACACATAATCGAATCTGACTGACAATCAGCCTGTTGAATGATCTGTTCTTTCTCTCAGGGGAAGAGGTCGATCCTCCGTAAAGCCAGCTCAGAGCGGATCAACCACAGCATGCGGGTCAAGTTCAACCCTCTGGCGCTGCTGCTGGACTCGTCTCTGGAGGGCGAGTACGACCTCGTCCAGAGGATCATCTATGACGTGAGTTACACCGAATATTTAGAATGTTTTGAGCTTGAAAATTTCCATCTTAAAACCGACTTAATATTGACACGAGAGGCTTGAAATCAGCAGATGTCTACATCGCTGCAGGTGGACGACCCCAGCATGCCGAACGACGAGGGCATCACGGCGCTGCACAACGCCGTCTGCGCTGGCCACACCGAGATCGTCAAGTTTCTGGTCCAGTTTGGTGTCAATGTCAACGCTGCCGACAGTGACGGCTGGTGAGTCTGACATACGTTGATTCAAGAGTTTGGTCTGTCTCTAAAGTCAACCAACGATACCATCCACACTTGTCATGGATGTAGGAAGACATCCTCATTGTTAATCCCTCCTACAAAGCTTTGATTGACATGTTTGTTTCTCCAACCAAGAGCAAAACTAAGACCTAGCTAGAATCAGTTTGAGCAACTCTTTGAAACTTTGTCCCCTCATCTCCAGGACTCCCCTTCATTGCGCCGCCTCCTGTAACAACGTTCAGGTCTGTAAGTTCCTGGTGGAGTCGGGGGCGGCTGTTTTCGCCACCACCTACAGCGACATGCAAACAGCTGCCGACAAATGTGAAGAGATGGAGGACGGCTATGCCCAGTGCTCCCAGTTCCTCTACGGTAAGATGCCGCGATGGGTTGTAGGACCTTCATGGTTGGGGTGGTGGATTTCAGATCCTTCAGTAAGTCAGCTGAGGGGATATTGGAGGTCCTTGAGGGAGTTCAAGGAACTCAGGAGAAGGCTCCAGAGTCATTGTGGAGTTTCTGTTGGTTCTAAAGTGAATTTTGGAAGACTTTAAAGAGGTTCAATGATTCCTTGAGATTTTGTGACCTTTGAAGGAGTTCTACAGCAACATGGAGAAGTTGTAGAGATGCTTTAGTTGGTACCACAAGGTCTTAAGTGAAATCTTGAGGTTTTTAAGTAGGTTTGGGGAGTTAAAGCTCATTGGTTCCATGAGTAAAGAAAATACATTTTGGAAGACTTTGAAGGGTTCATGAGGGTTAGGGTTAGTTCCAGAGTCTTTTAGGATGTTTCACAGGTTTATGAAGACATTCTGGAAGTTATTTTAGGAGGTTCCATATTTCCCTAAGGGGATTGTGGGAGCCTTTGAAGGACTTGTTGGGCATCGTGTGTCTCAGGGATCCTGTGAAGACAGAGATGAAGATGATTTGAAGGAAGATTTTCCAGAGTCCCTTAAGAGGTTTCAGAGGTTTTCAGGAGGTTCCATGATTCCCTGGGGAGATCTACAGCGACATGATGAACTTGTAGGGATCTTTTAAAGGTAGTTCTCATGGTCTTAAGTAGATTTGGGGAGTTGTTAAGTAGGTTTAAGGAGGTCCCATTGATTCCCTAAGGAAAAAGAAAAGATTTTTGAAGACTTCAGAGTCCAGAAGTCCATGAGAGTATGTAGGGAAAGTGAGATGATTTTAAAGCACAACATGAAGGAGTTTTGGGGAAGTTTGAGGTTCTGACATTGATTATTTGATTTTTTTTGGTAGTTTCAATGAGCTAAAAGAGGTTTATTCCAATGAATTAGGTAATTTTAGAAGGCTATAAGGTGCTACAGGGTCCATGAGGAAGCTCTGTGGGTCTATGAAGAGGATTTATTGGTTGTTTTGAAACCTTTGAGGGAATTCTAATGTATCATGACAAGGTTTCATGAATGTTTAAGATGATTTCCTGGACTCTTGAGTGTGTTTTGGGAAGTGGTTAGATAAAACGGAGGTGCTTCCAGGGTCCGTACATGAGATGCAAGCAGTCCTGTTGAGTTTACAGTGGTCCATGTGAAAGTTTGAGGGGTCTCCGAGGGTGTTTCATTGTCAGGAGGGAGTTTTAAGGGCCAATTAAGTCTTTCAGGGTCTTTGATGAAGAGTCTGTGATCTTGAGAAAGTTCTTTAAGGATCTATCACGAGTTTCAGAGGTCACCAAGGATGTTCCAGACAATCTTAAGGAGGTTTTCATGTTATCCAGAAGCTCCTTGTCGAGGTTCTGGTTTCCTGCGCAGGTTGCGAGAACTCCACAACAAAGTTCACAGGGTTATTTGAGAGATTAAAAGGAAACTAAGGAACACTTAATGTCACTAAGACTGAATTCACTCAGGTTGTTCTGATAGGAATAAGGATCTCATCACAGACTGTTTTACTTTCCTTTGCCCTACTGTTACACATCGTTTGATGATCCAGTTTTTAAACGGTTCCTCCCTCGTCTTTGCCTCGGCAGGCGTTCAGGAGAAGATGGGCGTGATGAACCGCGGCGTGGTGTACGCCCTGTGGGACTACGAGCCTCAGAGCGACGACGAGCTCGGCTTCAGCGAGGGCGACTGCATGACGGTGCTGCGGCAGAAGGACGAGGTGGAGACGGAGTGGTGGTGGGCCAGATGTGCGGACCGCGAGGGCTACATCCCCCGCAACCTGCTGGGGGTGAGCCGACGACGTTTACCTTCAACTGTTCACACTTAAGTAAATGTTTTAGACTGAATTTACTGAAAGCTGGTTTGCTGCTTTTACTCCTTGATCAGTGGATTCACTCACAGGGGCAAAGAAAATCGTTCACCTTTGGTGACCTTTGACACTTGAACCTCAGCCACTGACCAGAGCCAGTCTTGACAGCTGATGTTTAAAGTGGAGCTGGAGAGTCCAAAGAAAATGACGGATCCATTGATTCTCAAAACCCTTGTGATCCACTATCCTCATGATTATTACCAAGATACAGTTTAATCTGAAAAACCTACAGTCATGTACCAATTCCTCTCTAGGAAAGTATTTGGAAACTAATAAATTTGCTGCAACACTTGATGTACTTATCAAAGGATGATTCAGTGTGAAGTCCGGCTCTGTTTCTCAGACTCTGTCAGCATCCGCCCGTCTCATCTCTTTTAATCAGGTTTAAAAAAGCAGCTCTGAGAATCCTGTAACTCCACAGCTTTATGTAAGACGTTGTTTGAGTATTTAATGTTATCTTAATGGTGTTTTAATGAGAAACTCTTCCCCCTTTTATTTCCCAGCTGTATCTACGGATCAAGCCGCGGCAGAGGAGTCTGGCTTAAACCCAACGGCTGATGAATCCTCCAAAATACCCCAGTGAGGGAGGAGCGGCGGACGAGTAAAACCTCTGGACACTAAACGTCAAAACAGTTGTTTAAAAAGAGAGACGGATGTTTCCTGAGCCGCCGTCGGACCTCTGGTTGGTTTTTCAACCTTGGCACAAAGAATGTCGCAGTGAACTGAAACAAGAGTTCACCTGCCTCCTGTGGTCAAACCAACACATTATCAGTTTATTAGAATTCATTGGCAGATGTTGAACGTCCTGAGGCGCCAGGAGCCTCACAAAGAAAATGTGAAACTCTCATCTTGGAATATTTCTTTTTTTAAGATTTCATTTTTATTTTATTGATTAGCTGTTTGAGTCAAGAAACTGAACCTGGGACTCTGCATTTGAACCACATTTACTTATTTTTTTATTGAAGTATTTAAAAGTACAATTCCTTCTTCTTTTTTCATAGCATCCACTAGTTTCAAAAATACTGGGATAATGACAAAACACAACTTTAAGAAGTGTTATTACCAATTTTAGCTTCTAATGCACTTGAGTTAGTATCGAACTTTAAGGTGTCAGGAGTCCCAAAATTTTTTTTTTTTTCTTTGCACAAGCGTAAGACAATAATATGTGCAAACTAAATAATAACTTGTAGGAACAAGTTAACAATTTGGAAACAAGATAATAATGTGAACAAGATACGTGGTTTTAACAAGTGGAGAATTTGTTCACACACAATATTCACTTGGTGAAGAAACTAGTGGGAACAAGATTAAAAAATATCTTTTGTGTCTTTGGAGGCTCCACAGTACAGATTAAATTTCACCAGGTTGTTTTATTTTAAATTATTTTATTGACTTGTTTGTGTTAATAAATTGTACCCAGTCGTTCTTGGGCACTTTTTTTGTGTTTTATTTTGCAGGTTTGTTAAAATCCAGGTCAGAGCTTCAATGTGAACAGGTTAAAATCCGTTTCTGTTCGTTTCTTATATTTATGTCATTAACGTCCACAAACCAGGATGTAAGTGTTAAGAAAAAGCTCTTATTTTGAAAAAGTGTGAAAGTTTTTGTTTTTCTCATAAAAGTTTTTTTATTTAATTAAGTCATTTTTATTTACAACTTTCTGGTTTTTGTCATTAATTAACAAGTAAAGTCAAACTTTTTCATTTTGTTTTATTTTTCATTCAGTTCTGTAAATTTAAATCCTGACTTCCACAATTATTTTCCTAATATACTAGTAGATTATTTCATTTTCCAAAATAAAAGCCCAACCATCTTTAATTAACTGCCAAGCTGTCAACAAATCAAAGCAGGCAGGTTTGTTTTTTTTTAGGCTAGCAGTTACCCCTCACTTCCAGTCTTTGTGCTAAGCTAAAGCTAAAGCTTTCTCATCTTAATGTCTGACTCTGGGGAAAATGGAGAAAGGACGATTTTCCAAAGTAAAATATTTTTCTACTTCCTTCTACATCCTGTGAAAATACAAACAAGTTAAAATCAGAGACGAGATATTTCAGACGTGCCGAGTCATTTTCACTGTGACGGTTTATTAATCAGCTGGAGGGATGGTCAGAGAAAACAAAGTGATAGATCCACTCTCGTATTTAAATGTTCAGCTGTGTGAGGTCGCGTCACACCCTGACCTCACGTCCACGTCTTCGTCTTCATCCTGCAGAATCAGCTGACTCAGCTCTCCGACAAACACATGCAGACTCAGGATAAAAAGTGCAAAGTCAACAGTAACTCTATCTGAACAGTAAGCAAATTCAAATGCTACACGGGATCCATGGAAAGTACATTCGATATTTAGGTTTACAATTGCACAAAACCTCAGAAAAATAACATGAAAAACTGCATCGACACGTCACTGGATACAGATTTTAGAAGAGGAGGAGGATTCTCTGCCGGAACATGCAGGTTATGTTTCGCTGCAAAAAGCTGCCGGATACATCGAACCTACAAAGTTTTTATATCGTCACTAAACATGAACAGACAGAACAAGATGGAAACCAAGATGCAAGTGTTCCATAGTCAGAATGCAGATATTCAATGTTCAGGCTTCAAGTTGAACAGACGACGCGAGTCTCGACGAACTGAGTGACTGTAAGGCTGTGAAATGTAGAAAAGCTCCACTTCCCATCCACAGGTAATTCCCTCAAACACATTTACATAACGATTATCTGAACGCTTCCTCTTCCTCCTCACTGTTGCTGCTTTTCAGTTGAACGGCGGAGCAGCCGGAGACGAGACGAACCGACGTGAGGCTCGAAAAGAAGGGGGAAAGATGAGGACTAGTTCCTGCAGGAGATCCAGAGTCAGGCGAACTGGACAGAAGAGATTCGTCAAAATGACTCAAACTGAATAAAGTGCAAAAAGACGGAGCATCAAAATCCAACCAGCTGGTGGCTTTGTCAGATTGTGGTATAAAAACTTCAAATTAAGGCTCTTTCTTTCAAACTTGTGCACACAAATCAATTAATTTATCTTCTCTAATTGATCAATCCCACACACAAGTAACGTGATCTAAAATGTGTCTTCATGGGTGGACGTTTAGGGACGTGCACGGCTGGTTGATGAGCTGCTGCCATGCTAGATAAGTGAGGTAACATGCTAACTAGCCACAACGACGCGCTCTTTAACCGGCAGTTAGCTTGTTAGCCAGCTAGTGAAGAGACGTCTCTGTAGCATCAACTTTTTTTGCAGTTATATAAAACTGGATGGTGTCAGGCGGCTAAAGCGGTAGCTTCCTCCATTTTGGATTCTAGCTGTGTCCCAGTTCAGGAGCTTCATCCTTCAGACGCTGTGTTTGAAAACATATTGCATCACAGCGGCGCGACTAGACTGTCCCATTTTAAAGGTTCCTTCGAATGCGTCCTCTGTTTCCCGGGCAACGAAGGATCAAACAACATACCCCAAGATTCATTACGTGTCTGTAATATACACTGACAGACTCTGATCCACGGCCGATACCGATCACCTTTGTCTCACACACTTTGTAAAAGTTCCACGCGGCCACCTGTCGGCGGGAGGCGGGGCTACACTACACGGTGCTTCTCTCCACAGGCGGTCGGTGATGAGAAGCTTTAATTCTGATCTACTGATCACGTGTTTTTAATGGAAATCAGCCGATCAATCGGAATCCCCGGTAAGTACTTTGTATGAAGTACAGTAAGTGTTTCAGCTCAGTGCAACAGCTGGTACGACCAGTTCTTTTTTCACAATTAAAAGTTTTTTTAAAAAAAAAAAAAAAAAAAAGTTGCGTGTTGAGGTTGCTAGGTGACAGGAGCCATGCTTTGCGGTAAGGGGCGGGCACAGCTGGTGTCATAAAGCAGAAAATCCTCCGTCGACCAGTTCCACCTGACCTGGGACACAGCTAATGTCTTTGTTTCTGTCACCATGGAGACGATTGATAACGATCAACGATGCAAATTCACATCAAAGTTCGTCAAAGTTGACGCCGGAGTGAAAATGAAAAACGGGAAATTGTCAAAAAATCCACCGTTGGGGGGGGTTCCTTGCACTCAAGAAATAATCGCCACGCCACTTTAAACCCGTTTGTCAAATCCTCCACAGAAATAATCCGGCGCCTTCACACGGCAGCGGCGCTGATGAAGACGAGCCTCTTAAATCTTAAATCTGTGGCACAACATCAGATTAACGGCAGGCTTCAGTCCACGAGATCAGCTGGGAGGAGGAAGGAGAAGATGATGATGATGGACGCCGTGACAACGCAGCAGGAGCGCATGAGGACGTGACTATGGATCCAGGACAGGCGGATTAATGTGCCGACATGTGGCGGGAGAGTAAACCCGATCGATGACGTCCAAAGTTCTCACGGAGCTCGACATCTGTCCATCCAGCTGTGCGGGATGAAGGAGGAGTCTTTAATGCTCCTGCAGGTTCTGGTCGTGGTTCTGGTTCTGGTTCTGGTCGTGGTTCTGGAAGGGGGGCAGCAGGCGGCTGACGTGGCCGATGCCCTTGGTGACGCCCTCCCTGAAGAGCAGCTTGGCGCCCAGTCGCAGGTACTCCGGGTGTTTGATGAATCGGAAACGAACCACGGCTCTCTCGCCGGTGCGCAGCTCGTCCTGCAGCAGAGAGAGAGAGAGAGAGGAGGTCACATGACGTAGTGACACACACACGTCAGAGAACCGATCACACGCCTCATGTCGTCTACACACCGACCTTTCCGTGAAGGCACTCCACGGTGGCCGTCTGCCTGACGTTGCCCACGTGCACGGTGACCTGTGACCCCCGGCGGAAAGTCTTGGCGTGGAAGAGCAGGACGATGGCGGCTTCGAACTGACAGCAGATGGTCGGGTTCATCTTGGGACTGACCATCACCATGCCCTGCAACAACCAATCAGACGTCACTGTCATCACATGCTGACATCAGCTGCGTGAGGTCGTTCATTCTTCCTTCTTCACTCTGCTCTTCTCTTCCACAGAGAAATGCACACAGCCTGTATTCAGAAACTGAGCCTTAAAACCAGCCGTCAGGACTTCTGGAACTTTGTGATGTCACAAAAAAGCACTCACCAAGCCCCGCCCACCTGGACCCACCATCCAAACCTTGCAGGATTTGGTTTCTCTGAGTGTTTTTACCTGAAATCTGCTATATTTTTATTGGATCACTCAGAAAACAGTCAGCCAATCAGAAGAGAGGCTCAGAGCCTCCTCTCTTCTGATTGGCTCACTGACCTGTTGTTACTAGAGCTCCAGAGAGAAGCCTGAGAGAGGAGATGTAAAACTACACTGAGATGGTTTTTGGTTCTTAAAACCACAAATATATCTTCTTATGGATCAGTCTTTACGCTTTGTGACCTCTGACCTTGCGCAGCAGGGAGCGGTCAAAGTTCCCCAGCGCCAGCGTGGCGGCCTGTCCGGCCCTCAGCACCCTGCAGGCCGAGCGGTTCCTCTGGATGCTGCCCACCTTCAGACGCAGGAAACGGCCCTCGTCCGTGGGGCCGACCACCAGCCGCTCGCCCTCCCTGCACACGCCACTGGAGACACACACACGGCTGTTCAATTAACCATTAATCATCATCCGGATTATTTTGATCAATATTGAAATCAGGATAATTATTTATATTGACACCATGCAGTTATTGAACAAAATTTGGTCTTTTTAACAGTTTCTTGAACTTTAAATACAATTCAACAGAAAAACAAATAAAAAAAGAAATGTAAAAAATTAGATAAATAAAATAATGAATAATATATAATATCTAAATATATACAATTAAATATATAATATAAAAATAAGTGAAATAAAATTAAAAAAAATAAGATCAACTGGATTTAATGTCATTTAGCTGCTAATACACTGAACTGATTCAGTCTGATGTGAAACACGTTCACAACAACGACAGGATTTAAAAACTTTTTCAATAACTTTTAAAACTTGAAAATGATCCAAACTCTCAGTGTCTGTTCTCTCACCTGTACAGAGTTCCTCCCACCACAGTCCCGACATCAGGAACGGAGTAAATCTCATCCACCTGGAGAAACACAGAGGCATGATGGGAAACTTCTGTCAGCTCTTTATAAACGTTTACAAATCTCCTCTGTTGTTGTTTCATATCTTTACTTTTAACTTTCAGCGTAAAGTTAATTAGATTTTCTATGATTGTTCTGATATTAGTCTTTTATTGACAGATTATTATGATAACAGAGACCTGGAACTCTGTGAGCTGCTGCATCAGCTCCTCCTGCTCCTTGCTGTTGCTCAGTGGAGGGAGGATGTTCAGGAAAACCTTCAGCAGGTCCAGACTCTCTCCAGACACAGTGGACAGGGTGAAGATGGGCGTGATGCTGCATGACACGCACACACACACGCACGCACACACGCACACACACAGTGCAGTATTAGCAGTAGTATTAGCAGTACTAGCATTAGGAGTAGTAGCAGTATGTATACCCACCATGAGTACTGTGTAAACTGCTGCAGTATAAGCAGTAGTATTATCAGTGTTTGCATTGTTAGCAGTAGTATTAGTAGTATTAGCAGTATTAGCAGTACTGGTAGTATAATAGAGTTAGCAGTATTAGCAGTAGTATTAGCAGTACTAGCATTAGGAGTAGTAGCAGTATGTATACCCACCATGAGTACTGTGTAAACTGCTGCAGTATAAGCAGTAGTATTATCAGTGTTTTCATTGTTAGCAGTAGTAGCAGTACTGGTAGTATAATAGAGTTAGCAGTATTAGCAGTAGTATTAGCAGTATTAGCAGTATTAGCAGTGTTAGCAGTATTAGCAGTACTGGTAGTATAATAGAGTTATTAGCAGTATTAGCAGTATTAGCAGTACTGGTAGTATAATAGAGTTAGCAGTATTAGCAGTAGTATTAGCAGTATTAGCAGTGTTAGCAGTATTAGCAGTATTAGCAGTACTGGTAGTATAATAGATTTAGCAGTATTAGCAGTAGTATTGGCAGTATTAGCAGTATTAGCAGTGTTAGCAGTGTTAGCTGTATTAGCAGTACTGGTAGTATAATAGAGTTAGCAGTATTAGCAGTAGTATTAGCAGTATTAGCAGTGTTAGCAGTATTAGCAGTATTAGCAGTATTAGCAGTATTAGCAGTACTGGTAGTATAATAGAGTTAGCAGTATTAGCAGTAGTATTAGCAGTATTAGCAGTATTAGCAGTGTTAGCAGTATTAGCAGTACTGGTAGTATAATAGAGTTAGCAGTATTAGCAGTAGTATTAGCAGTATTAGCAGTGTTAGCAGTATTAGCAGTACCCGTACCCACCATGAGGACTGTGTGAACTGCTGCGCGGCGGTCACGGCGTCGTCGGGGCTCGACACCACCATGGGGACCTTGTTGCAGCCCGGCTGCTTCAGGACTCGCTCCAGCTGTCGGACGGTTCGCTCCACGGTGCCGCGGGAACACAGGTCCACTTTACTGACCACGATGAAGATGGGAACCTTCAGCGCCATCGCCAGGCCCAGGTGCTCCCGGGTGGTACCGGCTGGACAGAGGACAGAAGGAACACAGAGAGATGAAATACTACATTACCCAGAAACCCTCTGACAGGTAGCAGCAGAGAATCACAGTCTATTATCATGTTTTTACAGTTAAACTGTTCATTGTGTGTTTGAGCTGCAGCTCTGAAGCTTCAGACTGAATCAAAAAAATCTAAAGAAAATAACGTTTTTACAATTTGGAGTCTGAGACAAGAATTATTGGTTCTTATTGTACAATATTAAAAGATTAAAGCTGCAACAATCAGGTGATTAATTAATTAATAATTAATTAGCAGATCCACAGAAAATGATTCTGCAGCTATTTTGATAATCGTTTATTTGTTTCAGTCATTTTTAAAACAAAAATATCCTGTTTCTAACTTTACAAATGTGACAGTCTGTTAAACTGATGCAGACATCTTGTCTCTGTTTACTGACATTTAATAAACCAATTAATTAATGATGAAACTAACAGATTAAATAATAATAAAAATAACTGTTAGTCACAGCCTGGATTGCTGCAGTGGTAATATTATCATCTTACAGTGTCTCATGGGTATAAAGACATTTCCCCTTCTCCTCCTATGGATGATGATGGTGTGATTTGTGTCGGGTCTGAGTCAAACAAACATGTTTCTTTACGTCTGGAGAAACGGATGTGTCGCTGTTAATCGTTCAGCTGAAGATGAGAATTAACAACATGATGTTTCACTTCATCTTCAATCTGTTCACTGCTGACCTCTAGTGGTGACGTGTCGTCGTTGCTGTGGGAGTTTAGGAAGCAGGAAAATATTATATTTATTTCACTACAAGAAATAATTCAGAACAAAAGCGACAGACGCTGTTTGAAACATTTTACGAGCAGGTGAACAGACATGAATTAACACAGATGATCTGTGTCAGACCTGGCCTTGACCTTTTATTGAGTACGGTATATAATGATTATTTTATTTTATTCTCTATTTTTATTGTATCTATTTTTTTTCATTTTTATTTCATTTCCTGTAATTATTTATTCCAACCTGTTTATAGTCTAGTTTTTAATCTACCTCTATTTTAGTATTATTATTATTATTTGCTTTTTTAAATTTAAATTTTTACAGTTTTTCATTATCAGCATTTTTTAAAAATTTATTTAGATTTTTAATCTATTTAATTAAATTTTTTTATTTTCTTTTTTCTTATTAATGAAGGTTTTATTGCTCTTCCTCTTTGAACTGCTAAAAAATCTGTATGAAGGTGCTGTACAAATAAAGTCTGATTGATTGATTGATTGATTGTGGGCAAACCTGCAGGTCAATCAGCATTATTATAGATTAACAGGATGATGGTTGAACTAATTGATCAAATCATCATCATTATTAATATTAATTGTTAGTTGCAGGTCTGAACTGGATTAGTGCATGAATGTGATGAAGTGGTGATTTTCTGACATGAACGTATGTGACCAGCTGTGAATGTTACGTGTGACATCACTTCCTCCTGTAGGCGAAGCGTGTCGCTGCAGCTCACCGATGCCGGTGTTGGCGCTCACCACCAGCATGGCGAAGTCGGGGCAGTAGCTGGTGAGGCCGAAGATGGTGGTCTTCAGGTACTTGTGGTGTCCGGCCAGGTCGATGAAGGTGATCATCTTGGACGAGCTCTCGCAGATCTCCTCCGCCGTCCGAGACTCGCTGTAGTTCACGACCTGCGCGACACGACGGGAGGATGAGGACGAGTGGACAGAGACACACTGAGGTTTTTACTTCAGTACCAGGTCATGAAAATCAAATGGTTCATCCTCTGGGGAGCTGGAATGTGCTCAGGAAAATAAGTCTGTCCGTTAGATTTTGATGTTTGTTTGTTCCAGAAGTCACACTACACATGGACACAGACCTTTACACTGGAGGAGCTTTAATGGATTCTATTAAAAATATTTATTTATGATTAAAAAAAACAAAACAAAAACAAAGATGAGCCAATATAATGTTATAAGATCTTTAAACACTCTCAGATACTGGAATCAGAACTCGCAAACACCGTGTCCCTGGTTCGATTCCCGGCCAGACCATTTGCCTCGTGTCATTCCCCCACTCTGTCTCCACTGATTATATCAAATAAAGGCAAAAAACAACTTTAAACAAAAGCTAAATGATAAAAAACATATTGATCATTGGATATCAGCTGATACTCAGCAGAATTAAACTGTACAGGTGTTTATGATCTTTAGTAGTTTTGGTGACGAAAGACTTTTGAGTTTTATACTTTAAAAATAAAACAGTTTGTTTGTGAAAGAAAACACGACCCAGAGATGAAATCATTAAACTGGGCGTCACTTCACCTGATGAAGACACTGAGTTTAAAAACCATGAGCTGATGCGGCGGCTGTCCTCACCTCTCCTTTGCTGTTGAAGCCCAGGATCTCGAAGCTGATGCTGGACGTGCGCCCGGTCTGGATCTCGTGCAGATGCCTGAAGAGGTTGAGCCGCGCTCGGCCTCGCCCGTTGTCCAGCTCGCCCTGCGTCAGGACGCCCAGCAGGGTCGACTTCCCCGCGTCCACGTTCCCCAGCACCGCCACCCGCAGGTCCAGGAACTGTTCCGGTCCAAAACAGCACGTGTTCAGAGTTTAAAGGTGCAGAGATGAGACGTCGGGGTGAACAGGGACAGACACCTGCCGGACGGAAACTCACCTGCTGATCGTCAGGAACTTTTCGAACCAGGACTTCTGCGATTTTCCGAGTGTTTCTGTCCAAGTCGTAGTCCACCTCCCTCTCTCGGAGCAGAGTGATGTCGGCCCCGACTCTGGAGAGACAAACGAAGACAACACAGGCTGACACAAAGAACCGGTCTGTACCTGTCGGCTTCTAGAACCACCTCCTCGTGGTCGTATCCCTCCGCCACTCAGACTAGTTCCAGGTCACTTCCTGTTTATCCAGAGTCAGAGACAATATGAACCATGTGTGTGAAACAGTGTTTTCTGAGGTCACACTGACCTTTGACCTTTGACCACAAAAACCTGATCAGTTCGTCCTTGAGTCCTGGTGAATGTTTTTAACCAAATTTAAAGACGTTACATCAACTGAGATATTATGTCCCTGGGAATGAGACGGACGGACAACCTGAAAACAAAATGGCTGCCGCTCTGACTGTCGCCGGCGTGGAGGAATAAAAATCATCTGACAGAAAACTTGCTCGAGGTAAATTCTCCATCACATTAAATAACAAACCTTTTTTATCAGTTTCTTGTTGTGTTAATACAATAAAACACTCAAAAGGAAATAGACCCACTTCTCCGCCATCCTCTTTAAGGTCTTGAGCGAGGCCTTCATGTCGGCCTCCGTCAGGCCGACCAGCAGGCCGTTGTCTTCCACTCCGATCTGGTAGACGGCCTCGCCGCGGCCCTCCTGCAGACGCCACTTGAGCTGCGTGGCCAGATGCTCGAAGCGATACTGGGTGGGGTTCACCAGCTTCAGCTGCGACGACAGCAGAGAGAGAGAGGCGGTGACACGGCAGGTAAACATCCACCTGGTCTATTAACCAATAAAACATGCTGATTATATTTCCCAGCTGCCCCAGGTGACGCCATCAGAAGCTGCGCTGTGTTTGGTTTCAAAAAACAGTAAAACGTTTATGTGAGTTCAGAAACACATTCTCCATTTTATTTACAAACTGCAGCTAAATATGAATTAGAATCAAGACAAGTGTAAATGACATGTCAAAGATGTGTTTAAAGTGAATTAGAAACTGTTTTTATAATACATATAATTATATAATATAATGTTATAAACCAGGAGCGTCCTGAGTTCAGCTCTTACTGGATTTCTTTAAGGCCAGTTCACATTAACAGATATTTTTGATCCTTCAAAAACAGGTAATTCAAAGTTCTGTGAGAGATTTTAAACAATAACACAGATTTCTGCGCTAGAGGATCATTCAAATCAGATCTTGTCCCGGTCACAGCAGTGGGACTGATGGACTGACGAGCATCAGAGATCCAGGACACTTAATACAGATGTTTCAGTATAAAGTGCCACAGCTGTGTAATATATATATATATGTAGCTGTAACAGTTGATGTCTGATCAGAGACACAGTGAGTCACAGTCAAGATAAGAAACAGGTGCAAAGTCTGTTGTGGTTTTACTGGAGGGTCGTAAAAAGATCTGTGAGAGCTGAGAAGACATTTATTGATCATTGTTGACAGACACTGATCAACAACAGCCTTTCTTTCCTCAATTCATGAGGCCAAAGTGTTAAAGATATCAATAAAAACCAGGAGGATGATAAGGCCAACATCATTGATATCACATCTTTGTCAATACTTCCCTGTAGTATATAACAATTACACTGCAACTAACAGCTTTTCATTATTGATTAATCTGCTAATCATTTTCCCATTTAATTGATAAAGTGTTTTGCCTATAAAATATTAGAAAAGAGTGAAAAATATTCTCTGGTTTCAGGTCTTTAAATGTGAATATTTGTTATCTTCAATGACTTTAAACGGGATTTCTTTGTGGTTTGGACTTTTGTTTTGTTTCTCTGTTTTATATTTATGTATTAGTTATTTCCTTGTTTATGTTTTTGTATTTTATATAAGTTTCTTGTTTTCTTGTTGGATGCCTATAAACTCATTTACCTCACTGCTCCTAATATGTTTCTGTATTATCTATTTTAATCTATCAGATTCATTATTTTTGTTCACAACTGAGTCTCACAGCAGGCTTTAAATGGATCATGAAATAATACAATAAAAAATAAATATAAAATATAAATATATATATATATTAAAAAAGGAAAGATAAAAAAGAAAGATAAATACCTTATATTCAATGTTTCCTTCTTCAGCCTGTAAACAGACAGAGACAGAAGAGAGATGAGGTTAACTAAGGTAGACGACACATTATACACACTATATGGCCAAAAGTATGTGGACAGCCCTAACAACAGTTTGTGCTTGTCTCCAGCGACTTTATATATATTATCATACATATAAGTATTTATATACTTTATTATATTTTCTTTATTAAAACTGTTCTTGACTGAAACCCAAAATAAAAACATTTTCTGTTATTCATTTTGATGAACCCTACAGACTTCCTGGTTACCCAGCCTGACCAACTGTAACTACACTAAGTGATGCATTCAACACAGGTAAGTTAAAGTTGTCTGTTTGTCAACATGTGATGTCAGATATTACAGTGGTGATTGAGGAAATATATTTTAGCTAACTGTACCAACACCACACTCCCTCACATGAGCAACGTGCGCCAATCATAGCGAGGACAAAATATCAACCTGATTTCATCAACTATTCTTGCAATTTAAGGTTTCTTTTGATAAGACAAATGTAAATTAACACATAATGCATAAATTCGACCTAATCCTGTATCGACAGGATTAACTTCTCAATTCGGCATACAATTAATTCACCTTGCGCCACTTATTACACAATAAATACCTGTATATATTACTGTTATTCCAGATTTCAGCCACCGCATGTAACTTCTGTCAGCGGTCGCTTTATGTCAAACTATTTATAAAGTTGGACGCTAAAACTAGTAAATCAAACACTGGTGTTGTTGAAACATATGCCGAATTATTAATTGGTTATTGTTATTTCAGAAAAGCGACTGAGTCAACTTCCAAGTCCTCTGTGTCTAAACCATTTGGACCAAAACATCTTTAATTGTCAGATTTTTAAGCGTAGTTTGGCGTGACGTTTGCACCAGGCGAGGGAACAGCGGCCGTTGCCTGTAGGGGCTCCAATATAAAGTCTCACTCACACTAATAGTATTTCGACGCCATGTTTTAGACATTTTTATTAGTGTGGTGTAAACAAAATGCAGCAGTTATTAGCCTGCGACTAGCTAGAGTTTACCGCAGCATCACTAGCTAGCTGGCTACTTTGGCGGGCTGGGTGTCCCGATAATCCCCGGGCTAAAGAACGGCAGCTACCTCCGGTGGTAAATACGGTGGTGGTGTTTTGTTGTTCCTGTTGTTCTTTTTATTCCGTCTTCTCCTGCCTCGTTTTCCTCTTCTCGTTCGCGCCTTTTTCGACGTTTTCTTCCCGTTGTTGCCGGAGCCCTGTCCGTGTCTGCCGTGTCCCGGAGACACTGCACCACTTTCGGACAAATCCACCATCGCGCTGAGCTCAAGACGTCAGCCTGAAATGGAGAGAGATCACCGGGAGCAGCCGGACCTCACGGTAACGAAATAACATGTAAAAAATAAACCTAATGGTGATAATAATGTTCTCCTTTCTAACATCACATCTATCACAACACACGGCCTGCCTGTGTGGAGACCTGCAGCGGAGGATGCGCTCTCCTCAGCAACATCAACACTGTCAAGTCTTGTTTTTTTGCGAAATACCGCTCAACTTCCGGCTACGACTTTCAAAATATTTCAATAGCACGTTTAACGGGAAACGGACTCAAACTTCAAAATAAAAGTACAACAGGTAACGAGAATCGCCTGCTCTAGTAAAAAACTATTTTTGTAAGCACATTAAAGTGATATGTCACTCAGAGAAATTAATGAAAGAACTTGAAGAGGAATTATACTTTATACTGCACATCCTGTTATGAATTCTTAACATTACACAAATTATTGGTCTTTACAATCTTCGAGCACTAAATATCTGTAATAACATTCCTGAATGTGACTTTATACATGTTTTTCTCTAACTTCCTGTTGTTAAGGTAATAAATTGGTCCTCTAATTGTTATATTACTTCACTGTAGTTACAAATTCTGCCTCATATCTGTAAATAATGCTGATGTCATGCAATATTTTCACCTCCTCAGTGTCTCTTCCTGCACTGAACTCCCGTTGATACACTTTTTCTTCTGCCCTCAAAATTAGTGTTTCTTGTAATTTACATTTAAGTTGCATTGTCAAATTTGAATGGTTTGACTGGGTATTCTCATAAGTGAATAAGTCCATTTCTGTTTTGTATTTAATCATTTTGTTATATCGATGTTTTGAGAAATGCAGATTACAGAGTTAGTGCTGTGGTGTTTTTTTTTTGGAGCCCAGCAATTTTCAGATTTTAAAGCTAAACCTCTTACTACTGAAACTCAATGAGGTCTTTTTTCTCTTTTTCCTCTTTTCTATACATATTATGAGTAAGTATTATGGGTCATAACATATTCCTATCCCCCACCCGCCAGCTAAAGATTTCAGTGTGTGAGTGTGACTGGATGCACATTGCCGGCCAATGATCTACGAGCTCAGATTTAGGGTCGCCCTAGTATTGTTGGGTGTCTTCGTAGTTTACTGTTTTTCCCAAATGCTTTTAATTTTTACACACAGACCCCTTCCTTAGCATGGCTACTTCAGGGTATTTAAAAACACACATGATATGACACAATGAGTAAGAAGTTATATAGTTACACAGTTACCATTGATACAGAATACAATGAACATCAGAGTACATATATAATTTCTCAGTAGAAACCATTTCAATCTGTAACCAATGCATTTTTCTCCCAGTGTTCTTGATTTGTGATCTGCTCTCAAGGTAGTGTTTCAAAAATTCGACAATGTTTACAAGTACAATCATCAGACAATATTGAATTATTAACTCCATCTTTTTTTTTTTTGTGATCAACTTTTTTATTGACAAATGTACAAAATATATATGTTTACATCATATACATTGTTTTTATTCCCTGTCTTTTTTCCCTCCCCACACAGTGAGTGCAAACAGATACAAGGTCACTTACACGAGTTTTTCAACCCATAGCTCACCCCCCCCATTGACCAGCACAGCACGAGAGCCGCCCCCCAACGAAGCGAGCTGTGCTTTAGTCGGCGTGCCCAGCATGTCCGGAAGTCCCCGCCAGGCGACTCCGTATGAACCTCCCACCCAGGATCTCTCCCACAAAAAACAACAAAAAACAGAAAAGTCAAGGTCGGCCGTGCTGCACCCTTTCTTTAACTAACTTGTGTGCTGCCTCCCAGCCCTGTAAAGTCTTATGACTGGCTCCATGCATACGGGCAACAGACCACTCCATCAGGACAATTTCAAGAAATGAATTGGCCCACTGCTGCCAAGCCAAGGAATGTGGCGGTTGCCACCTAAGGGCCAGCATTTTCTTGGCTGCTGTGAGACCGGCCCATAGAACACGTCTATGTTGCAGGGACAAATTTAAAGAAGAGTCATCATTAAGCAAAAGTAAGGCTGGGGAGACTGGGATCCTGATCTTCAGAATATCACTTAAAGTGAGAGATATTTCCTTCCAGAATCCAACCACGCCGGGGCACTCCCAATAAACATGCAAGAATGACTCCTGGGCATTAAGTGAGCAAAGATCACAATTCGGAGATGTGGCAATCTTCATAGAATGACGCCTTCTGGGGGTGAGATACATCCTGTGAACATATTTATAGTGTATTAACTGGTGGTTGGGGTTTTTGGAAGTACCACTAAGGTTTTTCCACACTGTGTCCCAGCAAATCTCTCTATCATTTACTTCATTTAAATCTCTATTCCAAATGCCCTCTACTGGTAAGGATTTATAGGGTCCAGAGATGAATTTGTAAAGTTTAGAAACCATCCGAATTATTAACTCCATCTTTGAGGTTATGTGAAGTAGTAAAAAAGACAAGTGAAAAAAAAAACTATTATTGTTTGGATTGTTTTTGTATCTCTGATCCATCAACCCTAGCAATGACTAGTGTTCGTGGATTGTAGCATGAAAACTGTCTGGTGTATATTAACAGTGGATGTAAAATGTAAAGATTAATTTACTTAATATATTGGTTGTTGTAAATGCTTCATCATCAAAAAGATCAGGCAGTTTGATTGACAGGACAGATGATCAGAGGGGTGGAGTTTTTACCACCATCATTAAGCCCTGGATTAAAGAGTGGGTAGAGTTTCTCAGTGAAGGAGCAGCCAGTAAAGGAGTAGATGAGAGCTGCAGCAGCTACGTCATAAAAGGAGACCAGACCCTCCTCATAATCCACAAACACCCCCACCTTCTCAGGCTGAGACTTCAGAGAGAGACGTACTGGAGGGCCAGCATTAGCATCGTACTCATTTCCATTTCTCAACCATATCGTCCAGTAACCATCATCAGGGCTCAGTGGGATGAATCCCTTCCTGTTGATCGACTCTCTGGCCACTCCTAATGTCCACTTAGTCTTTCCTTTAACCTGAACCTCAAAGTAAAATCTGCCTGAAGAGAAACTCTGCTTTCCTAAGACATTAACACGGTAAGAAAATCTCTCTGGGTTGTCTGGGAGATTCTTCTTCACATCACCATGATTTACTTGTTTTCCATCATCAGACAGGATGAGATAAGGATGTGCTGTATCAGGATCCAGAGTCACATCCTCTGCATACTGCTGGACCCTCTTCAGCTCAGCCTCATTAATCAGCTTCTTCATCTCTTCACTGAGCGTCTCCTCCAGCTGAGCCACAGCTCTCACCACAGTCCCCTCATATGATGGTGGACGGACTCTGACCTCTGTCCAGTCCTTGGTGGGTGGAGCAGCTTTCAGGGATGGGAAGCTTTGGAGGAGGTGGAGGTGGTCTTCAGAGAGTGAGAGCTGCTCCACCTCAGTGCTTCTCTTCATCAGCTCAGAGATTTCCTGTTCCAGCTCTGTGATGAAGTCTTCAGCCTGTTTGTCTGTGGTTTTCTGTTTGTCTTCGATCTCCTTTATGAGCTGGTTCAGGCCTCTGTCAACAGACTCCTTCAGAGCAGTGAAGACCTGAACACCTTCTGCTTTCTCTCTGTCTGCATCATCTTTACTGATCTTGACTGAGTGTTTGATCTCCTGAATCTTCACTCGTCTCTTCTGGATCATTTGCTGAATTTCAGCCTCTGTCTCCTCCAGCTCTGCCTTCTTTCCTTCATATCCTTCTTTCAGAGGAACAAACTCATGTGTCTTGTGGTCTAAAACAGAGCAGAGCACGCAGACACATGTCTGGTCGGTCTGACAGAACAGCTCCAGAGGTTTATCGTGCTTCGTACACATCCTGTCTTCCAGGTTCTCCACAGGGTCGATCAGCTGATGTCTTTTCAGGCCTGACACTGTCAGGTGAGGCTCCAGGTGAGTCTCACAGTAGGAGGTCAGACACACCAGGCAGGACTTCAGGGCCTTCAGTTTGGTTCCAGTGCAGACGTCACAGGAAACTTCTCCTGGTTTGGAAACTTGTTGCTCTGAGCTGCTGCTGCTGGTTTTCTGTTGAGCTTCATGTTTGAACTGAGCAACCACCTCAGAGAGCAAAGTGTTGATGTGAAGCTCAGGTCTTATTTTAAAAACCTTGTTACACATGGGACACTGACACCTGTCACTAATGTCCCAGTGTGTAGTGATGCAGTTCTTACAGAAGTTGTGTCCACATGGTGTAGTGACTGGATCAGTGAACACATCCAGACAGATGGAGCACAGGAACTGATCTTCAGATCTCAGGTTGCTGGCAGCAGACATGTCGACACACTGAGAACAAAAGTCAAAGTGAGCAATTAAGAAAAACAATAATGTTGAATTCTATTGTTTAATTTCACTTCAGTGGAATTCATCTGCCACATGTCAGAGAGAAATGAAAAGGGTGGAGCTTCCTGTTTGATTTCACCTCTCAGTTTGTGTTAAAGCTGTTTGTTGAAACACAGTAAATATGATCAGCTGTACTCACCAGTATCTGAGCAGTTGTTGAGGAAATCCTGATCAACTCTATTTAATTTTTCTTTAGACAGAAACACAGAAATTTATCTCGACTGCAGCTCTGCTGTCGCTCTCACTAACTTTAACTTTCATCTGATCAATGTGACGTTGCAGTTTTCCTGTTTCTACTGTTGCTCCACCTCTCACTGCAGCTCTGTTTGTCAGGGTTTGTTTCCTGCTTCAGGCTCAGACATGATTATAGTGACAGACATTTGACAGAAGATCAGAAACTTCTCACTTATTTCATCAGCTTTTCTCTGCAGTGTGACTTTATCACTCTGAACACTTTTCACTAACAAGAATAAATCTTAGCATCACTTCACAGCTTCTGGATATTGATCATTAGAAATCACATTGATGCACTGACTCTAAAACAGAACAATAATAGATCTGAAATCCATCAATAGTAATATGATGTGTTTGTCAGAGTGTTGCTGCTTCCTCCTGCAGCTCAGACGACCACGGTGGATAACGAATCAGGAGGCTGGATCTAAGGACCAGACTGAGGAACAAACACAGACCAAGACACTTCTTTTTTTAAGTTTATTAAAGCTTAAATTCATACAGTGTATTTAAAGTTTGAACAGGAAACACTGTCTTC